TTGCATTATGAATAAGAAGGGGGTCAGCTGGGGAGCGATGGCTTTGATTTCACCCCCAGATGTATCGACACTTCTGGAAATGTGCTGTGTACGCATTCCTAATTTGAGCAACTTCGGTTTTTCTTTTTTACTGCTTGACTTTGCAGTATCCTGTAAGACCGACTGTGGAAAAGCTGACTAAAAGGTGTTTCTTTTCAGCAGCTTTGTGTTTTCTTGTACAAAGTGGAAAGTAGTTGTACAATCCATACAGCTGTAGTATTGCTGCTGTTTCTGGTGGGTGCCTTACCGAAGGGACTGGAGATTTTAGCTGGGACTTCATGACAAGGATTCCAGTGCAGCGAGCAGCTCCTTAAGCCATTGTCAGGCTGCAGTTGTGTTTGCTTAGGTGAGAGTTCCAGGACAACTCCAGACTTCCTAAAATTGAGAAGCAGATGCTTTAATCTAGGAAATGGAAAATATTCTTCATAAATTTAAGATGTAGGAGGATGCAAATCTCTTGGAAGTTCAGGTGTCAGACTGGCTGGGGACAGTCTAAGTGAAGTAGCAGTGAATTGTTCTTGCTGATAATTACTTTCAGATCACATTTCAAGCATCAGTATTTCTGTTAATCTGTGGGCAGGTTTTCTGCAGGCAGGCGAGAGGGATGCATTATTTTGTTTGAATTTTCTCAGCTCTCAAGGACAGATTAAACATGGAAAATAATTCCCAAAGGCTAATTGCTTATACATGTAATGTTTGTGGAAATGGACATCTTATGAAACTCTTCTCAAATATGTGCAGGTGGATTGGAGTTTTTAGTAGTAACTGTGTCAGTAATAAGACAACTTATTTCTTCTAAGATGTTTATAATTTTCTATTGTTTTTTATTATTGTGTGCAGAGGAGACTAAATTTTATTAAGCCTCTGTTCACATAGCTGTAAAGGGTTAGAAATGGTATATAAGTAGTGTTCAAAATTTGAGTTCTAATGTGGTAACAGCAGACCTGCAATACCTTTAAAGCTTTTTTTTTTGGTGTGTAATTTTTTTATAATTTGTTTCACACCAAGCCTATGTATAATACTACAGGTAATTATTATCTTCCTCTTCTTGTGTTTCTACTTTCTCTGGGTTCCTTTTCCCTATCTCTGGTAGTGAAAGAAGAAACCTTTGAAATTCACCGGGTTTTTTTGTTTGTTTGTTTTTTCCTCCCCCCTTCCCAGTATAAGTTCAGAGACCTGACCATAGAAGAACTAAAGAATGTTAACAAGACCTACCCAAACTTCACATTCTCCATGAACACATACAGTAAGAAGTGATACAGTTACTTTAAACTAATTGTGGGGATTCTGCCTTGGCATAGATTCAGACTGTGAACAATAGCATCTAAATAGTATGAATATCAGTCAGTTGTGTGTCTGTCTTTATTTTGACTTGCAGTAAAATTTCTCATGCCATGTGACTATTTTTTGAAAGCTCTTCCAAGAATGCATACATATAAAAACCTAAGCAACTCATTCACTAAATTTCATTTTATTTTAACTTGTCTGTAATTACAGAAGATTTATGTTCTTTTAAATTCTTCATATGTAACAGGATTTTTCCATATCCTATGACTGTATTGAAAGCATTTTGATGTCTTTAGCTTAACAAGTGTAACTTCCAGAATCCCCCAGCCTGACTGACAGTTCCTACAACACCACAATTACCCAGGTCAATGGGTTTTCAGACTAATGATGTGTTTAGTTGTACCAATGCAATTTTCCTAAAGATTCTATTAAGGAATTATCTCAAAGAGGGAGGGAGAATCTTAGTAACATTTTAGCCTTGGCTCTTTCAGGAGCAGTGTATTTGATTTATAAAGAAAAATTAGTGTTGTATATTGGTAGTTGTGGATGAGATTCCCATGCCAGATTCAAAAGGATTTTTTTTTTTTTTTTTTAAATTTCAGCCTTCAAGGATGGATCCCAGAAGGACCTCCTGAATTTTAGTGGTACTGTTCCAGTGAAATATGGTAAGATAAGTCAAATATAATTTCCTTACCAGTTATGAATCTAATTGTAAAATGTGTTGGATTCTGCCTCTTTACCGTATACTGTGCAGCTTCTTTAAAGGTGGCTCTAAAGGATTTTGCATGAATTGGCAGAAGCCACTTCTACTGCATAAAAAAGTGCCTTTATGCACTCACAGATGCTGAAATAAGGTGATATTAGATAAGTCAGTTAACTATTTTAAAAAATCATGTAGTTTGAGGCTGTGTAGGCAAACTCTTTAGTTCTGATGGAGGTTGCATGAACTCTATAAGCCATATGCCTGTAAAGGCAGTGTCCAAAAATAACTGGTAGGTAATTTTTTGTTTTTAACTTGAAGCCTTTGAATTCTGAGGTAAAGCTCTTGACAGATGCCAGTTTGCATTATTGTTGAGTCCTACAATAAGTGTGAAATGGGTACCTATAAGAGATTTCTTTGCCTGGAAAAGGGGACCCGTTGGCTGATAGAATATTCTGGGAAACAAGACAGCAACAGAGCTTTATATTAAGAAAGACACAGTTGGTAGCACTTCAAGTTGATCCAGACAAGTCTGCTTTTATTAACTAGCATACGTAACATAAATACTTTCTGGTGTGAATCTAGAAAGTGATCTGTCAGGCTTTTTCTCTTTGTTGTTATGAAGTGTGAATCACATGCACACACACTTAGTTTTTAGTGCCTCTTCTCAATGCAGAAGTGAGCAATGGCTTTTGTTTTGTGTTGAACAGGTAATTCCTATAACATACCTATTCATCTGTGGATTCTGGATTCTCATCCCTTTGCTCCCCCCATTTGCTTCTTGAAGCCGACTGTGAACATGGGCATTTCAGTGGGAAAGCATGTTGATGCTCATGGCAGGATTTATTTGCCCTACCTGCAAAACTGGAGCCATGTAAGAGGTGGAGTGGCTGACAGGGGAGGAAAGTATTTGGGAATAATGCATGGTATCATATGGAAATCAGTGGAGAAGAGTGGATAGGGTTTGGGGCTTTTTGGTTTTGGCATTTTTTGTTAATCTTAAATATGTAATGATTATGCAACGAGAAGCAGGATGTTATGTCTCTTGAAATTACAGCTTTCAGACTGTCTGAAGCAATTGTAAAGGAAGTTATAAGTGGTTGCTAGGAAAATTGTTTTAAGCTGAAGAAAAAAGGGACTGAGTTTGTTACAAAGCAGTATAAGCCTCATGTGGACCCTTTGATCCTTTTTCCTTTGTTGCTGTGAATAATAATACTAGAGCAACTCAGTATCCCTCAAGAAAGTTCAATGGAAGTTCCTGCCTATTGGATATGTCACTTTCAGCATAACTTCCTTTATGAAATACTGCAGTTTATAGCTGGTACCACTATATGAAATAGCTAGTCAACTGTTTTGTCTTCTGTATTGCTATATTTCAGCCTAAATCAACTATAATTGGATTAATCAAGGAAATGATTGCAAAATTTGAGGAAGAGCTCCCTTTGTATTCACTGTCATCTTCTGATGCACCCAGCCCATCGGAACTTCTCTCCTACATTGCAAAGATTACTGAAGGTGTGGATGTTTTCATATATTTGTTTGTAATGTTCCTACACAATATTTCTTTTATTTACTGTTACTACTTGATATCACAAAGATGCCTACACAATTTTAATATCTGAATTTTCAGTGTTTGCATGTCCACAGTATTTGCTATTTTCTCTGTATAGTCAGAAGTGCCTCTTTTTGAACCAAGAGCTCAGATTCTCTTTACTTGAATAAGCAACTCATTTGGGATGTTTGCATTTAAGCCTACTGAAAAATGCTGTAGACTTAGTAGTACTCATTTTTGTAAATTACTGCAGCAAAACTCTATGTGAGATCTTGTGGAACAGAAACATTATTTTACTGTAAATAAGTTGATTTTACCCAATCACAGTCATTCGTTCTCTCAGATCTCATTCACTCACACTCTCACATCCACAGTCGCAAGCCCTGAGACCCATATCATGTCTCTTGGGTTCTTCTTGTTCAGTGGTGACAAGCTGATTTCACACTTGTCTTTTATACCCTTTGGGAGGGGGTGCTATTTCACATTGTTGCCTCATTAGTTTTTCTCGTCAATTTTAAGTCTTGGGCAAAATTCCTGAATTTCACGATTCTCATGTTTTCCTTATCTGGGTATGTTATGGGTCCAGTCCTGCTGTTCATCCTGACACATTTTGTTCAGGTCAGTCTTTTCCCTCTTTTAATGAAATCACAGATGGTGATCTGTGGCAACTAGTCCAAACCTTTCCCTTTAACTCTTTTCTGCTGTTTCTTCCGATAATTATGTATGTGCTTGTGAGTATGCACACATGTGCGCGTGCAATACCCATTTCTAGTCAGTCAATCTTAATGTTTCTGTTACAAATCTCTCTGCATTATAGTCAGAATAAGAGTCATTATGTTACCTGTAGCATTAGCTAAACAACCTCAGATCGTTGTATTTTAATTAAATTCCATTTTGCATGTCTTTTCAAAATACTAAATCTTTTATTAATGTTATGACCACGGTATATATTCACACCTGTAATGGTAGCAAAGGGAGTATTGTTTGTATGGTCTTAGTGTCTAGCTTCTTGTTATTATTATGCTCATATTTTCTACTTAGTGAAAAAACATTCCTATCCAGAGAGGAATATTTATGTTTTACACCTTGCAAGTTGTGGTGAATTTTCTGCGGTTAGGGTTGGCTGCTATTTTGAAGATGTTTATGTAATTTAGTTTAACTCTGGCACAACCACCATCCTTTATGAAGCAGCAATACTTGTATTGATAAAGTGTGGACCAGCACTTAAGTTTTTCGTTTGCTTTTAATTGTAGGAGAGACTGACATGAAATCAAAGAGTAAAATTGGTGAAGTTAAAAACAAAGGATGTTTTAACAAAATTACTGTTGTTGGAGCTGGAGATCTTGGCATTGCATGTGTGCTAGCAGTTGCAGCAAAGGTACATAATTATTATAAATAGCAACAGACCTGATTAATAGACAGGCTTCCAACCTAGTTCTTAATGTCTGATGCATAGAAATAACTCAGCAGTTTTAATAGCCGTGTCAATGCTGATGTCATTTGCCTCTTCAGTTAACTTACGGACACACAGCAGTGTTAATTTCTGCCTTGTTTTCTCAGTCAGCTTTTTAAATACAAAGGGTTGAATATTGAATTAACTTACTTTGAAAATCCTTAGTTAAAGGATTCTTGCCTGAGCAGTGGCCTCTTACAGTTGGGATCTCCTAGTCACCTCGGAAAGGATAGTCTGTAGATGGTCTGCACTTCATTACAGCTATATGCTCGGAGACAATGGTAACATCGTTTATAACTTTCCAGAGGTAGTTTTATGAGTTTTTTATTGATTTATTTTGTAATGAGTTATTTTCCAATTAAACTATCTAAACTACATTGTCGTTCTTGTGATTTGACTGTAATTTGGCCAGTAAATTTGTTTCATTTATACACAGTGCCACAAACACTTGTTGAATTGGAGGAATACTGTTTTTTATTCCTCACCTCCACAAGAACAAGATTTTGTTTGCTTTATTGCTGATCTGCATTATTTTTATTCATGCAGGGTGCTGCAGACAAGGTGGTTCTTTTGGACCCTTCTGAAGGTGCAGCAAAAGGAGGGACCATGGACTTGGAGATCTTTGCTCTGCCAAATGTGGAGATCAGCAAAGGTATTAGATGTTGTTGCTGGAATGGGAGCGAGTACTGTGTGTGCTTGTGCTCATTTTAATGAGAGCAGGGCACCTGGGGAGATACAGAGCCTCTGGCATATAGGCCATCTTTTTAAAAAGATGTTATTATTTTTTCCTAGCTTCTTGCTTTTCTTCATCTTCTCAGGACAAAATTGGGAAGGGAGGGTTCAGCAAAGCTTGCATTGGCTTCTATTTCAGGCTTTTTCGGTCTGTTTACAGAGTTAAAGGTATGTGAGTCTGTACTTCCAGGGTAAGAGGCTAATGCTGAAATTGGACTTGTGCAGAAATAGGGAGAAGCCAAGCTCGTACTTCAGTGTCATCGGTGGAGAGAGCAAAGGAAGGTGGAAAAGATAGATGTATGTTCAGGGATGGGGATTAGAGATAGCTGTGAGAGCAGTAAGAAGCCAAGCTAGTACTTCAGTGTCGTCGGTGGAGAGAGCAAAGGAAGGGGAAAAGATACATGTATATTCAGGAATGGGGATTAGAGATAGCTGTGAGAGCAGTGTTAAAAAGGCTGATAAATAAAGGTAAATTTCAAAGTACTACTTTCCTAGATTGGTGTTCATTAAACATGCACATGGCCAATAGTTAGTTCTTAACTATTATCACTGGTTAATTCAAACAGTTAGTTCTTAACGATCTTGTCCTCAATTAGCTGTGAGTGTACAATTCAACAGAGTCCATGCCAGGTCTCCGTAATTAGTGGTGATGTTTACAGTCTTTGATGGTCTTAGTCGCAGAGGCTGAGGTGATGCCGCTCCAAAGCTCTTCCACAGGGGAAGCTGGAACAGGATTGAGCATCTTTACCATTCTTCCTTGCTTGTCTGTGGTGGTTTTATGTTCCTTTGTGTCCTCTGCAAGATGAAATGGGCATCTTTCTTGTGCTTCTGATGTAATTTATCTTATTTGGGGACAGGGACTTGTTCTGGTTCCACCAGGCATCTTTTCTGCTTATTCTGCGCCTGACATTGCCTGCTCTACATCCTTAGATCTTATCTTGCAGGTTTTACTGCTAGCACGTTTTTTTCCTGAACCCTGGTTGTGCAACTGTACCACAAATCTCTCTTTGTGCCTTTGTGGTTACCCATTACGTGTTTACACTTAGCTGTGTGTCCTGGTTTCTGCTGAGACAGAGTTAACTTTCTTCACAGTAGCTAGCAAGAGGCTGTGTTTGGATTTGTGCTGAGGAGAAGCTGATCACACACTGATGGTTACAGCTGCTGCCAGGACAGTCAAGGACTTTCCAGCTTCTCTGCTGTGCCCGTGTCTGCAGGGGCAGGAGAAGCTGGGAGGGAGCACAGCCCCAGTTACTAGCCTAGGATTTGACCTTAGGTTTAGGATGGAGACCCAAATTGGCCAGTGGTATAGTCCATATCATGTATGTCATGCCCAGTATAGAGATGAGGCTCTGTCCAGAAGTGCTCTCTCTCTCTTCAGGCCACCGCTCTCTCAAGGTCATCTTGCTCTCTCGGTCATCTCTCAGTCTCAGACACTTGGGCTCTTAGCTTTTCCGGGACTGTGGTTTTGGGACTCTCCCTGCTCCAGGAAGCATTAGCATTCCCCTCATTAGCTGGGAACGGGCAGAGCCTTGGTCACTGGGTGGTGAGCAGTTTCACTGTGTACCACTCCTTTGTTACGGTCTCCACGCGGATCACCTGTATGATACTCAAATATGCAGTGACCGGCTCAAGGCAGCTTTGACTTACAAATTTCTGCAGCAAATGTAGTTGTGTGTTTTCTTTGGCAAATAAATAGATGTCTTTTACTTGAATTAATAAATAGACTTTTGGAACACTTTTTATTGTTGTCTACATGTCCTTGATTGAGCTATAAGATCCAAAATTATAGAAGCCTAGATAAAGGAGTAAAAGTCTTCCCCCTTCTTTAAAAAAAACAGGATAAAAATGAAGGAGCCTTTTCATGGATTTATTTTTTCTCTCTTGCCAAGCAAACTTGGAAAAGCTTATCTGTCAACCCCATCTAGATGTTTTCTGGTCTCTGCTCTGTAACGCTGGACGAATTGCAGCCTGCCTTCTGTGTTTGCCAACTACGAAACAGGAAAAGTAGTTCTGTGGGACAGCTGTGTTTTACAGGTGCTGTGGAAGTGCCCCAAATTCTGCATTGGGGGATATGGGGGATATAGGGGAGACAGGAGGGGAAGAATCCCTAACTAAGCTGGATGCTGCAGTTCAGCCTTTAGGACGGCTCTTTGTTTAGCACCCAAAACTCAGTAGAATTACATAAATTTTAAAAACATGTCTTTATATTTTCAGATTTTTCTGCTTCAGCCGATTCAAAAGTTGTGGTACTTACAGTTAATTCTCTGGGTAATGCTCAGACTTACCTTGATGTCATACAAAGCAACGTGGATTTGTTCAGAGGAATTATCCCAGCAATATCACACTACAGTCAGAACGCTGTTCTCCTTGTTGCTTCTCATCCAGGTATGTTGGTACTTTCCCTAATGTTCTGTCCCTCAGCTGGCTTTCTCTTTGTCCTGTTGTAAAAATATGTTACTGCCAAGTACACCCACTTACTAAAAAATTTTTGCCACACTGAAAGATGTTTTCCTTTTCAGCTTTGAGCAGGACACTGTCTTTGAGGGTTTTTTCTTTACTGTTACCAAGATAAAAGAAAATAGTGTACTTTGTTTTGTGTCAAAGGTAAGTATTCCTGTATGTTTCTGTGCGTAGTTTCAACCTGACTGTATCTACAGGATTAGCATCCATTGGCTGTTGTCTTGTCAGTTGTGAGTTTTATGTGCACATTTCTCCTGTGCAGTAAGGATAGGTGCATGTGTGTGATGTGCTATGTGATCAGACTCACAGACTACTGTAGTACATACATAACATAGCATTGATAGTAAATATTGCAGCTCTGTTCTGGTGGAAAGTTTAAATCTGTTGGGTCTGTGATACTGTGAAGTAGGACAAAGCAAAAACTATTTAAAAGGGAAAGAAGTACAGGTGAGCCTCTCTGTCCTGTAGGCGCACTGAAGACAACCCTTTTCTATTTCTCAAGTGCTTCTTACCCTTCCTATCACTTAGAGCTGTGGAGATGGAGAAAAGAGTGCTTGCCAAATGAAAATAAATTAAACACTGGATGAATTAAATTTAGAAGCATGTGAGACTTCTGGTAGAGGAAAGCATGGTGACTCATTTTGAAGTTACACAGCTTCTTTTGAAACTCTACTTGGGCTGTGGATTTTCTTCACCTCCCCCCAGACTTGGTGTTTTAGGTTGAAATAAACTACTGATATGTTCTCACATGCTGATACCTTTTCTAAAGTAATTGCCAAATTAAAATAAATTAAACACTGGATGAATGTGAGACTTCTGGTAGAGGAAAGCGTGGTGACTCATTTTGAAGTTACACAGCTTCTTTTGAAACTCTACTTGGGCTGTGGATTTTCTTCACCTCCCCCCAGACTTGGTGTTTTAGGTTGAAATAAACTACTGATGTGTTCTCACATGCTGATACCTTTTCTAAAGTAAACAACTTGGTCCTGAGTTTTTTGTAATTGTGACTCGTAGTTTGCAGTTGTGTTGAATTTCAAGGGGTCCTTCACTGTCAACATATTTTTCTTTCTTATAGTTGAGGTAATGACATATGTGTCATGGAAGCTGAGTGCGTTTCCCAAAAGCAGAGTTATTGGAGTGGGTGCCAACCTAGATACTGAGAGATTTCAGTACATACTGACAAACCTTTTGAAAGCACAGGTGCTGGCAAAAGATGCTTGGATTATTGGTGAACAAGGGGAAGACAAAGGTAAAGTGATACTTTATTATGACTATGTGTGTATATTGTCCTGGCAGTGCTTAAGTAATTGAGTAATGAAAGAAAAATTGAGAAAAGTAGTGAAGGTAGTCATAAGCAGGGTGGTATATTTTCATAATAATGGTTCTAAATTATACAGTTTTGGTGTGTGCTCAAGACTGTAGGCCTGGAGTGGTAGCAAAAGTATTTTACATTTGTCATAGTAAAAAAACCCAAACCAAATCAAACAAACAAAAAAACCCAAACCATCCTCAAATGCTTAGATCTTGCTTCATTTTTAAGCAAGTGTTTCTGTCCATGTGCTACTATATAGTTTATTTCAGCAGTCCAGGAAACCTTAGCTCATCAGCTACATTTGGGTTGTTGTGGGGGAAGGAAAGTTTGGAAAGCTTGAAGTTTTTTGTTTTTTTAATTATTATTATTTTTCTTCTCCCTGCCTTATCTGGTACCTATTTTAGTCACTGTTTAGATGTGCATTTAAATGTTGTTTGTTTCTATTTAGTACCATCATGGACCAGTTGTAATTTAGTTGCAAATCAAACAGAAGTAATGGCTGCTCGTAACTCAAGGGAAAAGGTGGCTAACAGGTAACACTGTTATAATCTTATTTTTCTACATGTTTAGGCACTTGATGTTTGCAGAGTTTCTTCCTTCAGCTCTTTATGAAGAGGAAGACGTTTGCTCTAAAATGTTCATACATTGAGTTTATAGGAAATCGTAGCTCTGTGTGTCATTCACTTTCATGTATGTGTATATGCCCGCTGTTTTTCTGAAGTCCTCAATAATGTTGTGCCTGGGGCAATCTAAGGGCAAGACAAGCTTTGCAGAATATACACTAGAATATTAGAGCTGCTGGTTCAATTGTGTGTTTTTAAAAAAAATAAAATAGTAGACAAGCCAAACTTTCCTCAGAGCTTGTGTGGAAGCAGTTTACTTCAAAGCAGAGCAGACATTTGGATCAATTTACCCAATTTAATTAGCCACATATCTTTTACACCTCTTGACAGAAAAAAGAATTGTTACTAGAGTGGGTAAAATATACATAAAGAAATTATTTAAAACAATTTTTAATTCCCTTCTGTTGTTTTCCAAAACAGAGAATCATGTTTTTATAGTAGGCTTTACCTGATATGGTATACTTAATCTGTTTTTTGGGGTTTACATATGAAACAAAATAGAAATAATTGAAATCTAAACCTCACGTTTTTCTTCTTTTCTTGGTTTATATAGAGCTATGGATGTTCTAAAGGGAAAAGGTCAGAGGTCTTGGTCTGTTGGGCTGTCAGTTGCTGATTTGACTGACAGTATACTGAAAGATAAAAGAAAGGTTCATTCTGTATCCACTCTAGCAAAGGTAAGTGTGTTATTAATATCTTTTGGCACTGTAATGATTTTATTTATACTGGATATGACCATTAATTTTAGCAGCACCAGACATCTCACTTCAAGTAACTGTTCTGAAGTAGCACTACTTCTGTTACTTTCTTCCAACAACAGCTTTCAATTCTAGTCTAAAAATGAGCAAAAATCCGTTGTTGTCTTAATCAGAAACGTAATCAGAAACTAATATTAAAAGTGGATTATTCTCCCAAAAATATGTTCAAGGTTGCTGCCCAGCTTCCCTGAAATAGCTGGATTTGGCAAATGAAGAGAAATGTCTTTGTCACAGTTTCCAAGTGCTCAGTATTGAATGTAGATTTTTCTGGGGACCAAAAGAGTTCAGGATCTTTTATGGAAGTATAAAGTACATTTTCTGCCAGTATTTTATTTGACCAGCTTTGAAGCAGCTGCTTTGTTACTCCATGATACTTTACATTGAAGAAAAGATTATGAAGCTATATTTAACTTAAAATTGTAGACTGAATCTTGTTTAAAGTTTATCCTGACAGGTTCATTAAAGCATTAAGTCATCTCATATGAGCAAAAAGCCCATGTAGAAACATTTTTTGGTCACTTGTATTTACAGGCTTCAGAAGGGTGATTTGCATGTCCTGGTGTGGGGAAGTTGAGCAGGCTGCTTATGGCATCAAGTACAGACATACACCTAATTTAATCATTATGTTTTCAAGTAAAGTTTTTAATCGCTTATGAGCTAAATGCAGATATGGAGGAGTGACAAGTCTCTTAAACTGCAGAGTAACTACCGAATGTAAAATTTCCCATACAGATCCTAAAAATAAAATACACAGCGTGTACTTGAATTATAGGGTTATAAGTTTAATAAAGTCACTCACAGAATGAATATGGGATAATACTTGAAAAATATCCCCCAGATAGCTCTCTTTGGCTATATTTTTAAATTTATTTTGTTCAGTCCTAAAATAACTGGTGATACTGTACTATCAAGTGTACCTGCTTGTTCTACCTAAGAAACTGGTTAAATGGTGTTTTGTAGTATAAGCTTTGCCTGCGTTACAGAGGTCTGATATATTTAAGAGAAACTCCTACAAGTGTGGAATGGTTCAAGACTTTATCTGTAATATTTTAGTTTCTACACAGTAATGCATTACACAGGATCTAAAATAACTGGAATTTGAACGAAATAAAACATGCCATATCAGGGAATGTCCTTGCTTAATTAAAATAAGTTATTTTATGTAGTACCATGCTGCAGATGGAGCAGAAATAAGTAACTGTGTTACAATATTCTTTGCTTGTTTTTTTCAGGGATGTTGCAATATAAACAGTGAAGTGTTCTTAAGTCTACCCTGCATTCTTGGAACCAATGGTGTGATTGAAATGGTCAAACTAGAAGAAGATCCACTAGTGCAAGAAAAACTGCAAAGCAGTGCAGGATCAATTCATGACCTTCAGCAGCAGCTGAAACTGTAAGCAAGCACAAGGGAAGCCACGGTGTCTACTCACAGAAGTCAGAGATTTGCTGTGCAGAAAGGGTCGCTTGGTATATACATAATTCTATGTAAGACAAGAAGCTTTTTTACTTTCAAAAAGTGCTTTCTCAGTTTTGGTGTAGCTCATACTGCACTGAACAGTAATTTCTTATTTGAAAAGTGTCCTTTTGGTAGCCAGAATGAGGAGGGTAATGTGCAAGAGTGTTTTACCTAAATTCATGTGGCTTGTGCTTATGGCTTTTTGGTGCTAATTATAGCCCCATTCTTGGGTTATTCTTAGCTCTTAGTACCTCACTAGGACACAGTCTAGGAGAGCAGCTTACCCAGCTCTGCAGAAACTCCAGTGTGTAGAGCCAACTTGGACTCTTCCTCTTGGTTTTTAAGTGCTGCATTAGAGGCTTGTGTGGAATATGATCACACTCCAGCTCTCCAAGGGATGCAGTTCGGTAGCTCGATATTTCATGCCTACCACAGATGCTCCAATGTCGATGGACTCCTGCTTGTTACTAAGGGGAACATAGCTAAAGGCTTGGCATTAGCACTGTCCTTCAAACCTGAAGTATTGGAGATCAATTTCTGTTGTTTGTTTACTGATGTCTGAGACTTTAGTGACTTGTTTGCTCTTATTTTGTGAGGACGTTCAGAGTGCTAAAGCATCTGGGGTTCTCGGTACATACCTGCCTGCACTGATAAAAGACTATATTCATTCTGACTACAGCTCAGCATCATGAGGAGACGTGGGCTCCACTCCTGCTGTGTGCAGCTTAGGAGCGTCGTTCCCTGTTTACGTTTTGAGGTGTGATGGGTTAAATGTTGATGAAGCTTTCTAAGCAAAACTAGGATCTGTGCCAGAGTGGAAGATCTGTTTCTTTGTGCCTTCCAGTTATATCTCACAAAGAGCCAGCCGTACAAGGAATTCTAATATTATATTGAATTAAGATAAAAAGATAAATCCTTTCTCTTCAATAAAAAAACCTTCAGTAATCCAGTTTTTTTTCACGGACTACTCAAATTTCCTTCCTTCCTGTGGTAGTCAATGGTAGGACAAAATTAGGGATGGCTGCAGGTGACTAAGTCTGCTGCTGTATTAAAAAAAAGCACTCAGCACTATGGCTGGACTTTGGGGTTGTTTTTTTTCTCATACTTTGGAAAAAACAGCATAAAATTATGGGTTTATATTGTTCTTGAAGGTGTTGTGTTTAATCTGTTGAGCATTTGTCCTCACGTGAATAGTCCAGGTGGTTTGTTTATTTGAGCTTTTTTTTTTAAGAATCATAAAAAGCTGCAAACTTTTCCAGGGCTGTTTCTTAGGTTGATGCTTATGCTATAAACCAACTAACCGTGGCTTGTCGCTCTGGTGTTTGCACTTTATTCCTTGAGGAGTAACCAACGGGACGTGGCTTGAGCAGTGGGGTGGGAAATGGCACTTTACATTCTCACGGGAAATCAATTCCCAAAAATATTTTTTAACAATAAACTGCACTACGAAGAATTTTTTAGACATTCTGTGCCGTATTTTTGATACACAAAGTACTGCTGGAGCATGGTGTCTACAGGCCAGGCGGGAAGCGGCTGCCAGCCCGTGCCGGTGGGGCTCCAGGCGCTGAGCCCT